TCAGAAGGAAGCAACCCTATCAACACCTTGGTCTCGGACTTCCAGTTTGCAGAACTGTGAGACAATGCGTTCCTGTGGTGGGAACCCCCACTGCACGGTGCTGGGTTGCGGCAACCATAGGCAACCAATACACCCCACAAGGAAGCTGAGCTTGACAACTAAGAGGTTGCAGTTTTCCAAGGTGGAGATGTGTTTGCTCATGTCTGTCCATGTTTTTCCTTTTATGGAACGGAGCCCTTGGTACACGTAGGGCAACTTGCTGAACTTTTGGAAAACTGATCACACCTTCCCTGCCTTCCAAGAGTTCTCAATCATGGGGACAGAATGTACCTCATACCTTGGTGTGTCCTTAAGACTGTCTCCGTGTTGAGTGCTGGGTGATTTTACGAGCATTTGTATGTCCGCCTGTGTGTGTGTGTGTGTGTGTGTGTGTATGAGAGTGTTGGGTGTGAATCTGCGTGTGTATGTGTATTTGCGTGCATATGAGTGTGTGGCTGTGTAGCAGTGTGAGCGTGTGTGAGTGTGACAGAGCTCTCACAGGAAGACTGTCAGGGGCTTTGGCCCTTCGTCACTTTGGAAGTAGAGGCTGGAGAAAGAGAAACCCGCTGCAGGGTCTCTTGGCTACACATAGACAGGGTGGGTCTTGCTGTACCTGGGGAAGGTTTGGGTCTGCGATGGGGCACCTCACCCTCAGGAGGAGCTGAGTGTGTCCTGACCCCCCACAGCCCGATCCTCAGGGCCGGCTGCTGGGAGGCTTAGCTGGATGCCCTGCTCACCAGGGAAGCCCCTGGGACTGGATCCACAGGGCCAACACCGAGGAAGAGGGGAAAGGTGGGTTGAAACATTGTTGCAAGGAGAAAACACTGCATAGAACCCTATTGTTTTACGGCTGGGGCTAATTTAACGAGACTCACTGCATGTCCACATAATAGAAAATTATGCAGTCATCAAAAGTGAAATTTGACTAATTTTTAGTGCCTGGGAAGCTGCTTGTGATGGATAGAAAATACCAGAGTTCAAAATGGCAGCGTTCAAAATAGCGACAGAGTCATTAGACTCCAGCGCTATACAAAAGTCCTGGGTTTGAATTTGGACTTGCCACTGGCTGGGTGTGAGTCCTAGGGCGTTACCAACCTCCCTACCCTGGTTTCTTCATCGGTTAAGTGGGAACGACAAGAGTACCAACCCCACAGGCCGAAGGGTGGCATTTAAGGGGCTCTTGATGAAAAAACCCTGATTTGTTGCATCTGCTGGCTCCCATGGCAAATACTCCCATAATGGCCAACATCACACTCCCAGTGACTTAACAACCTATTCACAGAATTTCTGAAAACTTAAGTCACCCTCACAAGCCAGCCTGGGCTGACTCCAGCACAGCACAGCTAGGGGCTTTGGGGATTAAATAAATACATGCTTTGAGCAATGTATAACACAAAAGATGAACAGGAGCTATCACATCCGCTGCATCCTATTTGGACACACATTACCAGAAAAATAAGTAAAATAAAAAGAGCAATGTGTGTGCAAACCATGGTATGTGGTAGACTGAGGGTGGTGATTGCAATTCTGTCCATCTGAGGTTCAAAGGATAACTTAAAATATGTATATGGCTGGTTGGGCGCGGTGGCTCATGCCTGTAATCCCAGCACTTTGGGAGGCTGAAGGGGATGAATCACCAGAGGTCAGGAGTTTGAGACCAATCTGGCCAACATGGAGAAACCTCATCTCTACTAAAAATACAAAAATTAGCTGGATGTTGCGGCCCACGCCCATAATCCCAGCTGCTCAGGAGGTTGAGGACGGAGAATCGATTGAACCTGGGAGGTGGAGGTTGCAGTGAGCTGTGATCTTGCCACTGCACTCCAGCCTGGGCAGCAGAGTGAGACTCCGTCTCAAAAAAAAAAAAAATATATGGCTAAAAAGAGGTTCACAAAAATGCTGAGAGTGGTGGGATCATAGACCATATGTGTAAGTTGGCAATTTGTCCTAGTTTTGCACAAGGAGCACATGTGATACAATCATTTAATGTCATTTAAAGGAGCGAGGAGTTCTGAAGGTGGGCGCTCTAACTCTTGGGGTAGGGCCAAGGGAATGAAGCCCCCACGGCCTTAGGGAAAGTCGTGGTCGTCACAGAGAGTCAGGGAAGACTGCCTGGGCTGGAGGGAGGCTGCTGAAAGGCCTGTCCCCATCACCACCCATTAGGTGGCTCAGCTTTCGTGACACCTTCACTCCTTCCCATCTAAAGGGGAGGCTTTTTCTTGGCACAACCTGCCTCTTGGATACAGTGAGAGGGAATCAGCCAGGTTTTCTGTCTGGGCCTGTGGGTGGTCCTGACACTGGATTGAATAATGTCCCCCCAAAACTCATGTCCATTCATACCTCAGAATGTGGCCTTATTTGGAACTAGGGTCCTTGCAGATGGGGTTAGTTAAAATGAGACTATTCTGGAGCAGGGGGGTCTTCATCCTTGCGACTGGCGTCCTCATGAGAAGGGGCACTTTGAAGACAGGCGCAGGGGAGAAGGACCTGTGGCAGTGGAGGCAGACACAGGAGCTGTGCGGCTACAGCCAGGAGCGCCAAGGCTGGCCTGGCCACCAGCAGTGGGCAGAGAGGCTGGAAGGGGTCCTCCCTCAGAGCCTCCGGAAGGCAACAGTGTTGCTGATACCCGGAGTTTGGATTTCTGGCCCCCAGAACGGTGAGAAAAACACATCTCTGTTTTTAAGCTACCCAATCTGTAATGTTCCGTTATGGGGGCCCTAGGACATGAACACACTGGGCCCAGGCCAGGAACCCCCCTAGGTTCCCCCTCCCATCCCCCGCACTGTTACCTTCGGTCCCTTCCCTGCCCTCCCTATCCTGGGATCCCCCTTGAAGCTACCTCCACTGGACGCCACCCCCAGCACCCTTGGTCCTCTCCCCCGAACTGCTGCCCTTAGTCCCCTCCCGGTCACCCCTTCCCCCAGCCCTCCGTCTCCTCCTCGCCCCGCCCCCCACGTCCCTCCCGGGTCCCCTCCCTGCCTCCGCCCGCGTCTCCACCCTGACGCAGGGCTGAGTCCTCACCCAGCAGCTTAGGGCCCCTCAGAACTAGAGCGGCAGGAGATTAAGGGTTGCTAATTTGGAAGCAGGGACTGATGTTCTATAAAAAGCAGGGAGGCTTTGGGATCTGTTTGGTTTTTAAGCCATTTTAGAAACTCATCCTACACACAAAATGGAGAGGTCGGGGGGATCTGTCTCTGCCTCGCCCTTCCCCCCCCAGGATCGGTCTCTTCCCCTCCCCACCTGCCTCCCTGGACCCTCCGGGAGGAGGGGGGCCTGCAGCAGCGAGAGGAGTGTCTGCAGCAGCGAGAGGAGTGTCCTGTCCTGGAGGAACAGCTGGGAGGAGAGGACCCTCCTACCGTTCTGGGTGGCAACGGTGGGAGGGTCCTGGAGCCTCTTGCACCAGGGCCGAGGTGGAGGGAGCGTGGAGGTGGGTGAGTGGCCCCACAGCCCGTGTGCCCACCACGGCCCCGCCAGCAGCCTGTGCATTTCAGAAAAGCATCGTAGCCTGTGAGATTGTGGTGCCTGTGGTCCCAGTGCTTTGGGAGGCCAAGGTGGGAGGATCACTTGAGGCCAGGAGTTCGAGGCTGCAGTGAGCTAAGATCGCACCACTTCACTCCAGCCTGGGTGACGGAGCGAGATCCTGTCTAAAAAGAAAAGAAAGAGGCTGGGTGTGGTGGCTCACCCTAATCCCAGCACTTTGGGAGGGCGAGGCGGGCAGATGACGAGGTCAAGAGATCGAGACCATCCTGGCCAACATGG